GTTATAATTGCAGGTAATTGTTAAGTACAGAATAATCTCAATTTTGAATTGAGGGCAGATGATGCCTGGATATTTGGAATGTCTACAATATGCCAGGTGTCCTACAAAACACACTCCTGGGTGATCACCTGGGCTTGGAAAGCTTGTTTATGACACTATACACATGTTATAATGGTTTCACATGTAAAAGCCACATTGCAAAACATCAGTAAAACTGTAAATTCCCTCTGTCCTTTGAAAGGTTATTTTATGGTGTCTTTTTTCTTTTGTAAAAGTGGTCAGAGTTTTAAAATTCCATAGGGAAAAAGCAATTGCTATAGTAAAAGTTTTAAAATATTACTGGAATTTAAAACTTTTTTAGAAAGGGAAGAATGCAAATGATGAATGTTAGAATGAGTGGATTTATCAGGCCTCATATAATATTTTAAGGTTCTGAACCCATAACCTTAGAGTTACTAAAGCATATCGGATAAGGGGTTGGAAAATAGTTCATAAAAAGTTGATGACATTAACTAGTAGGCCTGAAAATATGGACTGAAAGTATAACCAACCCCTGATAAGTAACAATATTGTTCAAATGCCAAACACAATTAATTATGTGCCTTAACATAGCTAGGATTAAATACAATTGTTTCATGTAATGTTGAGGTGAAAATTCTTTGTTTAAACCAAAATGTTACCTAAATATTTTACCCATAATTCTATTTTAAATACTATATTATCCTATTAGATTCAAAGTTATTTCTATTTAATGAGTTAATTTTGCAAATCTCCATGAAGTTATAAAATATATAATCCAAAATAATTGATACAACATAAAAGCAAAAACTAGAGCATTTTAGATGCAGCTGGCTGGCATATTTCTGTGATAAATCTCTTTGGCCTTTCTGTTCACTCTCTGCACACTTATTGATCTGTAGCACTTTTCATTTTCATCACCCTTTAGAAACAGCTCCATGAAAATCATGACTTTCCTAGTCTTCCCTATCTTCTTCCAGGGAGCCATCTGTCAGGGTGTTATGCAGATACTTGAAATGTAGCTTATCTTGACCTTTTTCAAACAAATGCTCTTAGTTATTCTACACTGTTTTTCTAAGTTAGACTCTAAAAATATGCTTTGCTAGGAAATTACAGGACGTTTTACAATAAAAAAAGTTATATTCCTACATAATCTTCTTGCAATACTCATATATCATCTGAGCTTCTCTATGTATCCTCTCATTTTTCCACACTTACAATTAAAAGAAAAAAATCACTATAATGTATAATATAATTTTCTCTTCTAATATTATTTTGGAGCCATTCCCTATTATAATGTAATCAATATTCAAGTGGGGGTGCACAATATTTTATACAATTAATTATATTATGTTTAGCTAAGCATTTTATACATGAATGGGAATTTCAAATTTTCTCTACTTTAAGTAAAAATAAAACAACTGTCTTTGTATATATCCTGAGAAGGTGACCAAAATATACTACAATCCAGAAGTTGCTCTTAGGACAATCTGGCCACCAGTTTTTCTATTTCTATATTTATGCTTCTAATAAGTTGTTTAAAAACTCATACTAGATTCTTTCCTCAGATTTATTTGCTGTTTGTTATCAAAGCCTTATATTGCTCTGACTATATTCTATATATTATTTTACACACTTAATACACATTAACTCATCAAATCCACATAAATCCTATGGACTATTATCTTCATTTTTCAGATGAAGAAATTGAGGTGCAGAGAGGTAAGGTAACCTGCCCAGGGGCAGATAGCTAGTAAGGGCAGAGCAGATTGGGAAGCAGACCACCGCTCCACTATTATGTGCTGCCTCTCACAATCACATTCCTGAAGATCAGAGACAGTTTTAACCAGTTGCCTTCCCACTAAAAATTGGTTGTTACCACCATGACACTGTGTTTCCTTGACCAGTAATATAATCCTGGCTGGAGAAACGAGAGAAAGGCCAATAGCGTTGTCTGCTATGCGACATTGTGGCACCTTTAGCCATAGGTTGATTCTTGTACATGGAACATGCTTAGGAAGTAGTTCTCTCTCAATCCAGCAAAACCTTGATTGAGGAACCGTTACTTACAAGGCGTATTTAATACAGACCCGGATAGGAAGTGCAGTGCACCAAAGCCACAAGTCTACCCGTGTGCCCGCTCAGAGCCCTAAATAACCTGCTCTACTTGAGCCAGACCTTGAGAGGTGAGGGTTTGAAACAGCAGAAGGCACTTTGTCCAACACGTTTGCAGTATAACTTTAACTCAGAAGATCTGCAAGAGCGCAGAGTGGTCCTGGGCTCGGGGTAAGCATCGGTCCAGAGGAACGGGCTTTTCTGGGATCCTCCTGCATGCTGAGCATGAGGGTGATATGTGCATGAGCCTGTCTCAGAGTGAGATCTGAATATGCCCTGTTGCAGCAACCTTATGACATGTGTGGGGTGCTGATTATTTTTATAGTGAAAAGGGGTAAACTTATTCTAAGTTTAATGTAACAAATTTTAGGACAAGATCCAGCTTGAAACAGATTGGTGACTATTTAAGTCAAGAAGTTGACTTAACTGCAAAAGAAAAAGAAAAAAAACATTTCTAAATTAAAAAAAAAAACTGGAGAAGGGGAGCAGTTACAGCAGGAGAAAACCCTATCTGTTAGAAAGAGCCAAGACATACAACTGAAAGAGAAAACATCTCCTCCCAGCAGGAAGCCCCGCTGACTCTAAGAAACGCTACAGAAAAAGAGATGCTATAAGTCTCCTCATTGCGTCATGTCAGCTAACGACTATATAGGAAGTTTAGGGAGTGAGGAATCTCACCCTGGAGGTGTTCATATTCTTGGAGGCAGTTTGAGTTCCTGTGTGTTTATAGCCTTGACGGCAAACATTGACTCAGAGCACTGTAAGAGAGACAGAGAGAGAGAGACAGAGAGAGTGTGTGTGTGAGTGTGTGTGTGTGTGTGTGTGTTTCCATTTACTGAGTGTTAGCAGCATCAAGTACACTTTGAAGACCAGCAGCTATGTCTACATGTCTCAGCACAATTAGATTTGGAATTAGGACAACAAAAGCAATCCATATTTCTAAGCTCCAACAGCTGAAGAACAGAGTGGAAATTCGTGTTAGGAAACAGGGCTGCTATCCCAGTATTGTAAAGCCAGGATTGTTTTTATCTAGGGCTTAGAGTTGCTGTAAGTTTGATGAGTGTGATGAGAAAGCTTTGAGATGCCTCAGAAATTCCTGAAATAGTCACAGAGAATGGGAAAAGATCATGGACCGAGAATCTCTATGTATGGCGGAACTTTGAATGAGAAAGACATGGATTTGACTCTGGGATCCTTCATTTACTCACTGTTTATCTTTGACTCAAATTATGTTAGACATCTATTCCCTCATCCCTAAAGTGAAGAGAATACCCCATCGTACAGGGTTGCTGAGGGGGCTCAATAAACACATACAAGAAAGCACTTAGTATAGTGTGAGGCAGTAACAGTTTCCTTCCCAGGTTACCACAGTTTTGCCACCCTGCATTGCTATTGGATGCACAAGGTTTTTAATACATGCTTGGAAAATAGCAAAAACAGAAGCACAGTATTTTGTAGTTTTTGTTAAACTTTCTAACGTATTTTAATAAATCATTAAAGCTCAATGTGAGCCTTGTGTTTTTAATTAAAGAATGTTTTAAAAAGCAAATAAAAGTTTATATGAATTTTTAGGAAAATGTTTCTAGGCTGTGAAACATTGGGAACTCTGTTTATATTTTTATTTGATGAGCATCTATGTCATTAAATATGCTCTCTTCAATGCGTTCTCCTAGACCTCTCTTCTCATTCATGACCTGTATCTGACCCATGACTGTCTATTTGTGGCTATGAACATCTCAGGATGGAGAATCTGAAATAGAAACAAAAGGACATAGTGGTTGAAAGCGACCAAGGTCACACATGGGATCATGACAGTTAAAGATGATAAGATCAAGGATGTAACAGGGCACTTAGTCATAGGAAGTAGGAGGAAGTAGGTGGCTATTGTAAGAGGAGAAAGGAAGTCATAGATCAAGAAATATTAAGGAACAAAAAGTAAAGGTCTTATAAGAATTGTCCACATGGAAACAAATTGTTCCTTTTTTATTTAATGAGCATCACATGATGTAAGAAAAGATGCATGAATTAGGAAATGAAGAGGGAGAATGCTAAATTATTCAATGTTATGTATCCTTTGATAAAAATCATCCCTATCTTTTGTATTTCAGTTTGATGAATTTAATGCTTACTAAACCACCATAGGTGTTTAATTATACATATTTGTCCTTTAAGTATATATTTTACAGTAACAAACACATCATAAACACAGATTCCACAAGTCATGAATGTATATTTTAATCACCCTTCATCTTTGAATAATACTTGACTTTCTCCTCAATATTTTCAGGATTGTAGTTTTCTGAAAGAGGATTTTCATTAGACAATGATTACTATTAATTTGTTATATATTAATGAACTGATGAACTGATTAAAATTCATGGAAACAGGATTGACTTTTTATTTAATGTTTAATTTTGAAACATCTAAGACAATTTTTGTTTCTGATGTGTACATAACAACTTTATTATTATGAATTTACCAGTAAAGTCAGGAAATTGAATTATAATACAATTTCTGGGAGATAATGGCCAGTCTCAAGAAGGTCAAGCTTGCCAGTTCGGAACTGTCTCAGTTACACAAAACTGCACAGCTGGATGAATCAGTTTAATATAAAATTGATTGTTACACTGAAATGACCATCTTTTTAAAATGGTCAAAGTGGTTGTTCAAGTTTTAAACTGTTTACCCCAGTGGCAAAATCCAAATTATAAGCCATTAATAAACGTAGTCATTAGTTTCAAATTATATATAATCAATGGAATTTCGCCTTTAGCATATATGTTTTTTAATCTCCTGAGTTCAAGAGACTTGCAAATGTAAAATGGACTCTATTGTGGCATTTAAATTATGTCTTTTTCTTTTTTTAGGTAGATCTTCTTGTCCCTACCAAAGTGACTGGCATCATTACACAAGGAGCTAAAGATTTTGGTCATGTACAGTTCGTAGGCTCCTACAAACTAGCTTACAGCAACGATGGAGAGCACTGGACTGTATACCAGGATGAAAAACAAAGAAAAGATAAGGTAAGTCATCCATGTGGTTTATAATATGCTGAGGTGGAGGATCAAATTGTATCCAAGTTTGATTGAATGAACTGCTTATATATGTAATGAAAATAATGGCCACATGCATTGAAAAATGTATGTTAGATAAAAAGCTTTAAAGAATAGCACTGTAAAGGAGTTTATAGTCAAATATGATAATGGTGCAACCTGTAGAAAAACAAATTGCTTTACTAATAACAATTTCTGTATTATCAATTACCTAATATCCAACTAAGTAAGATTCAGCTTATATTTTATAAACATAATAGAAACTTAACTAATTTATCGTAAAGCACATGTAAATAATGTTCCATCACATGATGCTATTATTTTCATTATTAAACTACATTACTGGTATTAGAAAAATGTTCTTTGAAGAAAAATATTTCAAACATTAACTAAAATATTTTTAAATGTGTTTTATTGATTATGTTGACAATTAGGAATTTTAGAAATACACAAATTTCAACTCTTGTACTAGTTCATCAAAATTAAAATATAGGACATTCCTCTGCTCAACTTCCTAAATTGAGTTTTGATTCATATATTTGTTTAATTTTTGACCTGTATAATTTATTTTAATATTACAATAACAGATACATATTAATGCACCATACAATTCTATCCCATATAATTTCTAATTGTTTTTCTAAAAGTTGTTAACCATTTTGAACAACTTTTTCTGGTATCTACTGGTCTGGATTTTTATGGAACCTGGAGAATGGACATGCTCTGGGGTAATATCAATAATTAGTTGAGTCAAATATTAAAATATGGCCTCAGCTGAACTAATGAAATTGAAATTAATTCATTGCTTGGAGTCTTTTTGCAAATAACTCTAGCTTTCTGAGAACATCAACAGAAACAAAATATCTTTGTTTAAGGATCTGGGTGAACATATAAAACAATTTTATGCACATTAAGTATTTCTGAGTTAATAATGATTTTTTTCATTTTATATAATAGCTCTTCCTGCTATTGTGTTATTAGCCAATAGAGAGTTGAGAATATCTTTTTTCTTCAAGTATTCTGGCAGAAAATTTATAAATTTTTCTAGAAATTCTAATCCTGCAATGGCTATTTAAGCGAGTCAACAGAGTCTGAATTCAGTTCACACAAAATTTGTTTTAGAGGACCATCTTTTAGTTTAGGTAGGAAAGCCACATCTATTTACCTTTTAACATCTTAGAGCAAACTCACTTAGCTTCTTGATACATTCATTGAATATCTCAGAACACACACATTTTACCATCTAAGAAACTGTTGTATCTTGCAATGTCACAATTTAATTGGCAACACTTATTATTTTCTAGAACATAAAATAATGCCATGTTTTATAATTAGTGGTATCTTAGATTGAATTAATATTGGGTATTTTGTAAAACTCTGTTCAAATTTATTTTTGAGCTGTAGACAAATATCTGCCATCATTTATTGCAAGTAATGATTTCATTTCCTGTCTTTCACATTTTACAGTAGGCAGTCTGATGCATAGAATATATTTACATTCCATAAGGTGAAGATTTATAAACTTCATAAATTATATGACTCTTGAAATTAATTTTAAAGTAGATAAGTATTTTCATCCATAACCCATGTCTGAAAAGTACATTTATAATAAGTAGAAAGCACATTTATAATAGTGAAATCATTATATAGGATGATTTGGGAAGAGGTGTAAAGAAAAATATTGTGAAACCACTGTAGTGGTGAAATACTTCTTTGTCTGCCTTCACATTAAGCATGTGATTTAATGATTATATGTGAATAATTTAAAACTTTTTCCTTAATAGACTAGAAAATTTCATATTAACACATTTTACTTAATTATCTTAGTCTGAAATGTTGGCCAAGTTACTTGATAGTGTTGTTCAGGTGTTCCAGATCTTTACTGATTTTTTATCTACTTATACTCTCAATTACGGAGAGAACAATGTGAAAATCTCCAACTATAATTGAGAATGTCTCCTTGCAGTTATAGCAGTGTTTGCTTGATGTATTTTGAAGCTCTGTTAAAAGATGCATGAATGGTTAGAATTGTAATGTTCTCTTGCTCAAATAACTCCTTTATCATTAGAAAATGACCTTCTTTATCTGGATAATATGTTTTACTCTGAAATCTACTTTATGGGTATTGATAGAGGTACTTCAGCTTTCTTTTGATTAGTAATATGTTGGAATATATTTTTCCCATCCTTTTACTTTTTAGCCTAATTGTACATTGTATTGGAAATGCATTTCTACTGCACAGCATATACCTGGGTCTCCTTTTTTAAATCCAACTATCTCTGCTTTTTACTGGGTATTTAAATTTGAAATGAGTATTGATGTAACTGGGTTCACATCTGTCATCTTACTGTTTATTTTTTACTTGTCACCTGTTTTCTTCATTTCTTTCTATTTTCCTACCTTCTTTGGATTAATTGAATGTTTAATGTTTTCTTTGTCAACTTATTTTCTATAACTTTTTTTTCTTTTAGTGATTATATGCATTTTAAACGTATCAATCCTACCTTCAAATTAATATAGAGCCTCAGAAACTTACCTCCATAAGCATAAGTAAAATAGATTATAACTTTAAGTTCATGTACTTAGGAGCTGCATTTATTATAAGACTTGATTTTGATTTTGACATTTCCAAAATAAGTCTTATTTTAAAAAATAAATAGGCTCCCATTAGGCAAGTTAGAAAATTATGAGTGTATATTGACACAGTCGGTGGAAAGGGTGTAAGCCAGAATTCTCATATGAGACAATGTTACAGTGTCATCTATCCAATGTCAAAATTTATGAAAAATTAAACCTCTTCAATATTATAAACAGGACAATTAGCTAAACTCAGCTAATGTAACTTGTAGTTTTGAAATCAAATTTCGCCAATTTGTTTATAATATTATAATTCAATATAATGAAGAAAAGACTTAGATAAGTTTACTATGTATTACTGACAAAACTAACACCAATCCTATATAATAAAGAGGTAATATGCAAATTGACCCTCACAACCTCATGTCACAAGATGGCCTGCAGGGAAGGGCAGTTAAGGAGGACCAGGTGTGCAGGGAAGGGCAGTTGGGGGTGATTGGGCTGGCAGGGGAAGGGCAGTTGGGGGAAATCGGGCCAGCAGGAGAGCAGTTAGATGTTAATTATGCCGGCAGGGGAGTAGTTAGGTGTCAATCAGGCCGGCAGAGGAGCGGTTAGGGGGCTATCAGGCTGGCAGGCAGAGTGGTTAGGGACAATCAGGCAGCCAGGAAGGCGAGTGGTTAGGAGCCAGCAGTCCTGGATTATGAGAGGGATATCTGACTGTCAGACACCCCCCAAGGGGTCCCAGATTGGAGAGAGTGCAGGCTGGGCTGAGGGACACCCTCCCCGCCCCCAGTGCATGAATTTTGTGCACCAGGCCTCTACTAAACTATAAAAAAGAATGCAGCATTTACTATTATAATAAAGAAATACATTATGCATAAGAAGAAACTTCAGGAAATAAACAGCTCCATTCCAACAGAGAAGGGACTTTTATAAAATAAATGAGAAAATGTATTGCATAAGTTTTTTGAACATTTGTGAATATATGTATTTATCTTTTATATATCAAAATTACTATTTTGCTTTCTTATTTTCATTACTATTATTACTAGGTATCTGTACTAATAAAAGGGTAATATGGTAATTAGACTGGATAGACTGGACATCTTCCAGACGTCCTTCTGGATGTCCTTCTGGACAAAGCCTCAGTGGCTGCGAGGGCAGAGGGCTGGCGGCACAGGAAAGGTGGCAGTGCAGGAGAGGCAGTGGCATGGGTTGGTCCAGCGCCACGGCCCCTTCCACAGAGGCAGCGGCACGGGCCCGGTCCCAGTGTCACGCTTCTGCAGAGGCTGGACGGGATGCGACTTGCTGTGCCTCAACCTCCCACAGTCCTTCCCCCAGCTGGTCTGGCCCCAGATTGTCCCCCCACCCAGCAGTGGGCAGGGGGTGGGCCAGTGCTAAGAAGCCAGGACTGAGGGCCGGGAGGTCCAAGGGCCAGCAGCTGTGGCAGCCAGCAGTGGCAACAGCAGTGGGGATATGGGGGCGGTGACTTCCCCTGATCGGCTCTGTCGCCTCCTGCCTGAGGGAGGCCAGACTGCAGCTTTGGCCTATGGGGAGCAGGCCTAAGCCATCAGTAGGACATCCCCTGAGGGCTCCCAGACTATGAGAAGGGGCATACCGAGCTGAGGGACCCCTCCAGTGCATGAATTTTTGTGCACCGGGTCTCTAGTTTACTTATAATTTCATATATCCTTTATAGATGTGCTCATCTTCTTTAGAGAGGCCCTACACAACTTAGCAATTAATTTTTCTAAACTTCAACAAGCCAACTTCTGTTGACTCTTAGTATTATTTATGTCTTGTTTTCCATGGTTACTTTCCATAAGGGAAAAATGTCCTTATTCTTTACAAGTGCAAATTTAACTACAAGCTTTTGTCCTAATAAATATAATAAGTGAACTGAATGTTTCAGGGAAAAATACGTGCCTGTGAAATGTTTTATTGATGCACATTTCAAAAGGAAATATTTACAGAGTATTCTAATTCCTTTATTTGTGCCTTTCTGTTTGTTGTTTTAGACTTCTGGCTCTAATATATTTTTGGAGTTTGTGTATGGAATCTAATGTAGATCCAGAAATAAGATTTATTATTTCAGCAAAACAATATTAACATAATAGCAATATTTTAGATTTACTGTAAGTGACGTAAATTAACTTTTTAAAATGTATGCATGAATGCCTTTTCTGTTTTTCATTAGTCATAGCTGACTCCCAAGCCTCAGGAAAGCAATGCTGAGGAAAATTATATATGTGCATAGGAGTGTCTAAATATATGTATGAATACATATGTGTGTGTGTGTGTGTGTGTGTTTGCACACCAATAGTCAATTGAAAAAAAATAGATGCTTTGTTCTTTTCATTTAGATGTCAGCTTTTCACTACCCTCTCAGAGCA